GACTGTCTTGGAATTTAGTCTTTATAATAGTTTGCCTTACTGTAACTATTACATAGTTTTTGTTGTGTGAATACTAAATCATGCAACTCATTTTAGTTTCCTATTTATATTGACTGTTAGAAGGCCCAGAGCCATATGATTCTGTTTCATTTAATTTTGTCTATTGTTTATGTAGCACTACTTGCCAGGCACTGTCCTAAACTCTATACATTATATTCTAATTTATCCTTATATCAACCCTGATTTATTATCCATTTTGCAGATAAGTCATTGAGATATGCAGGTTAAGTAACTTGTCCAAGGTTACATAGCTAGAAAGTAGTAGAGCTTGTACTTTTAATCACTGTGTTCTGCTGCCTCCCAGCATTACATATGTGTAATGTGTAATTAATTAATTCATGCAGATATTACTATATAACAATGCATATGTAATGCATATATAGACCAATAAGGCATGTGTGTATTGATAGTGAGACAGAGGAGCAGGCATGTGGTTTGATAAGGGGGATTATTAAGTCATGGATTAAAATGATTTATCTGTGATCTCATCTTATTTCGAAGATCTTAGAATAGTTTTAGATTATTGCTACTTAAAGTATGTCCCGAGGCTGGTGCTAGTCCATGAAGTGTTTGCTCTTAGTCCAAGGTCAGCTATTTATGAAAGTTAAAAATAAGTATTCAGAAACTTTTATAGTCATTTGAGAGTAATTTTGTATTTGTTGACTATAATAATAAAAATTTGGCCTGCATTTTTTTAATCTTAAAAAATTTTTTTTGTAATTCATTTAATTGTATTTTACAAAAGTTTCAGTTTTACAAAACTTTACAAAAGTTTAATTTGGAAATTAAAAAAAAAGTGGTCCTTAACAATTTGAGAAGGACTGTTCTAGGTAACAGTTTTTCAAGATTTTAGGGCTGTTGTTTGTCTGAAAAAGAAAATACATCATCTGTAACTTGAAATTATGTTCTAATCTAAACCTGGTGTTGAAAATAAATTTGGAATTAGTGTATTTGGCTGCTTTTTCAGTTTCTTGATTCTGTGAGAAAAGGCCCTAAATTGAATGGACTTCTTAGGGAAATGGAGCATTTTTCATTTTTGTTTTTCTACTTAGTACTTTTTCTGAAGAATGACACATCTGAATTAAGTCCTTGATCCAGGTTAGTTGCCTGAAGAACTTATCTATCATTTATAGTTACTATCTCCTTCCTTGACCTACCAAAGTAGCTAATAAGGTACTTTGAATTTTTTGTGGGTTCAAATGGTTCCCTAGAATAACAGAAAAGTAAAAAAGATGAGAACAACAATAAAACATTGCTGATGATGCCGGCTAGGTGTAATACATTTTTCTATTGGTGGAAAGCAAAGATAGCTTTACTGAAATAATATTTGTGACACCATTCAGTTTTTAATTTTTCTTTTTCTTTTTCTTTTTGGGTGGGTTGGGAAGTCTTCTATAATATAACATGTTGTAAAATAGTTTCATGCTCAGTTACCAACCCTAATAGGGTCTTTCATTGTCCATGCAGTTACCATCTCCTTTTTAAAATAATCTCTTTTTGGTGATCCCATAAAATAGTATTTGATGAGGAATCCACCACAATATTTTTGCATGTTTAAAAGCTGGCCACCAAATAGAGAAATGGGCTGAGGATATGAACAGGCATTTCACAGAGAAAGAAATTCAAAAAGCCAAGGAATTTTCAACTTCACTAACTCAAAAATGCAGTCATCACGTGGGCAAGATTAAGAAATGATACTGATTTTGGAGAAGTGAGTACTTTTATATGCTGCCAACAGCCCTATAAGTTGGTTCAGCCTTCTTGAGGGTAATTTGGCAGAACTCGTCAGATAACAACAACAAAAAATACACTGTCTCTTTATCCAGCCCCTCCACTTTGGGGGATGTATTCTAAGGAAATTAAGTTGTACTCAAAGATTTAGACATGATTGGCAAGCTAAATTATGGTGTATCCATACAATGGAATATGGTATAGCATTAAAAATGAAGTTGCAGAAAGACATCTATATGTATTACTAAGAGAAGGAAATGGATTACCAAATACTCTGTATGATAATAATTACATTTTCGTAGATGTGTTTGTGCAAATGTATGCGTAGAAAAAGATCTGAAGGCTATATTTTAAGTCTGTATATGGAACATATTAAGAGCGTTTGTATAATTTTTGCACACTTGAATTTTTGATTTTTTTCCTGTAATGAGCATGCATTGCTTTTGAAGCTTCTTTGTTGAAGATTTGGTCTCCATTTTAAAATGCATGGAATGGTTTAGGAATAAAGGAAACCTGATAATCAACAGGATGTCGCCTTTCCCCAGGTCCTTTTCTGAGGGTTCACCAGGAGCCTGTTTTTCTTTTCTTTCAGAACTGGTTCTTGAAAGCTGTGTTTGAGGTTTGTTTTTTGTTTTTTCTTTTTCCTTCTGTGACAAATGTCTATCATTTTCTAAACAAGAAAGCCAATGTCCCAGTTAGGTGTGTGAAGTTCTTTTCATTCACTTGCAGCCCTGTTGTGTTAATACTGAATAGGCAGAGACAGCCTGACTGGTGGTGAAAGATGGTAAGCCCGCCTCAGGGCTTTTTCTGGTCAGCCCTAAACCTCTGATTGCCACGTTTTCCTAATTTCCCATTTCCAGGGCATCACTAGAGTGACCTTGCTTGCTGAATATGATGCTCTGAATCTCCAAGATTTTCACATACATTTGGAAGTGGGCAGCCAGGCGATTGTTTACAGGACTCCAAATGAACTGTGCACTCACAGCAAGTTTGATAAACACACATTTCCTCCTTTTATCAGTGAGATTGCAGAATGTGAAGTATGAGTTTCCAGTTTTACTCATTCCCCTCAACCCTTTTCCTGTTTAAAAACTTAGACATACTCATTGGATGCTGATCTGTCCCTGTTATTTATTTTGCTTACTGGTAGTCGACGGTTTATTCCAATACTTACCTAAGCAAGGTTTGGCAGTCATTCAAAAATAAACTTTCCATGTATTCAACTTAAAGGAGATTCACCCCAAGGAATGTAATGTGAGCGCTAATTAACAGTAATGACTGCTAATCACTTTGCTTTTTATACTCCTTTAGGAGCACTGCTATTATCCAATGTAGTTAAGTAAAATGCTTGTATATGAATCAACAATGCTGCATCCTTTTAGCAGCTATTGCTCACAATCAAGCTTTGCATAAATTAGAATTAACCAAAATTGATTTTAATGTGCTTCATTTCTTTCTATGATAGTAAACTAAAATATATAGTTAAGTATCCTGAATAGTAAAGACATTACGTATTTTTCTTCTTTTTTTTTGCAATCATCCTTATGGTAGATGAAAAACAATATTGCAAATAAATTTTCACAGTTTATGACATTTCTCTTAGATTTCTTTGAAATTGCATGTGACATACTCTTCATAGTCACAGTGGGCTTTGATTGTGTTGTGTGCATTTTATCAGATCAATGAAAAGCAATAGACTTGTGTTTAATTTTTCTGGTTTTGCACATTTACTTCGTGGAGGATCTTACAGTTTCTTTAAATTTTATAGCTCATTTATATAAACTTGGTTCATAGAATTGTGCATTCAATGTTCATTAAAAAGGGTTGTTTTATTATGTTTAGTGTCTTATTAGACTATTATAAAAGCTTTCTGTTTATTTACATGCACTCAACATACCTACAAACTGCCTTGCCTCAGGAGGAGACTAAGCAAAACTCATAAATTAATAATTTAAGGGAGCAATACTCAAGTAGCATTTTGGTTAAGTTAATAAGTTAAAGCCTTAGAGTCAGTGTTGGCCACTTTAACAATGCTTTACTTTTGACTTTTATTGGCTGAAAATAACTTGTTAAACTGAGGCTTTTGTAATAAAATGAAATCTACATACCATCTGAAGCCCCTTCTCCTCTTTTTGATTTATAAGTAGGTTGACATATTATTGAAGAATTTTTAACACTTTCACAGTTCTGCACTTTGATTTCAGAGAAGGTGCTAATCTCTCTGGAAGTTTGAGAGTGACAAAATGAGTTGTATACTGTTTTTCTAGGGAATTTGGGGTTCTTTATTAGAGGCCTTAGTTTTATGATGGTACCTGTATTAATGTTGATTTGTCTAATCTGTGATGTGGTGTTGTGATTTGATTTGCATTAATGGAGTATTCTCCTTTCTCATTTTACATATTACCTCTAGTTCCTGGCATGATGTTCTTATTCTTATATCTAATATTTTTGTTTCTACAGAGCGTTCAGCAATTCATGACGTTATTTTTAAATTACAAAAATAAAATAATTTAATTTCCCTTTCATTTTTATGTTATTTGTTGTGTCAGAAACTTTAATTTTTGGTGAATAAACAAGTATAAACAGATTAAGTGGCAGTGTAATAAGAAGCTTTATATTTTATATACTAGTCTTATTGTCATACATTGCAAACATATGTGTTAAAAAAGACCTTTGGCACTGTACTTAATTGAATTTAGTTTCAAAAAATTGTGACAGGAATAATGTGAAAGACCAAAAAAAATATGGAAGCTTAATTAAATGCTATCCATAGGTAATTATAAAACTTGTGAGTATTATTGTATGTAACTTACTTATTTTATATCTCAGTACTATTACACAGTAGCACAAAATTTGTATCTCTGAGGGAAAACTTGGTTTTTTTAAAAATTTTGCTCTGAGTTAGAGTTTTTATGTGTAATAAAATTTTGTTTAAACAAAGGTGAAGATTTCAGTTTTGATCCTTTTTTTTTTTTTTTTTTTGCAGTGTGTTTACTTTCATGTGAGCATGATTGATCTGTAGCTGTCATTTTTCCCAAAGAAGGGACAAATGGAATTGGCCTTTTAGACAAAAGTATGCAAACAGACTGCATTCTTTCTGTTGATAGAATTATAGAAGGATTGCATGAGGTGCCACATTCATTTTCCTATTGATTGTGAAGAGGATTCTGCAGTGGGGTGCTGTTTCTATTGGATAAGGAGGTGCTATGATTAGTTACCTTTCTCATGAAAGCACTACAAAGGGAAATGCAAAATGTGTGCAGTGCGGTGTTTTAAATTTGACAGTTGTTTTTGTTAAGTTTTTTGCCCCATTGAAGTCCAGCCTATTTTTAAAAAAAACATACATTTTGGTTTTTCCCCTTTATTAGGCTTAGTAGATTTCCTTGCATTTGACCCTTTAAAGAAATTACACATTATAGACGTTTTTCTAGGCATCTATTGTAAAGCTTCAAAGCTAATGCAACAGTGCCCTCTATGGTCTTTTAGTGAACAGTAGATAAACGTAGATAATTTGGAATATTCAGGTAAGAAGCAGGATATTTAAATTTAATTTTTGCTCAGACAAGAGACTCCTTTTTCCTAAGCAGACATTCTTGTTTTTCACTAGCGACTTTACTTTAAACAAAGGGAACAAAAGACCATTCTGAGTTTTCATTTAGAATTATTGGCTACCTCTTGTTGTTACCCAGTGGTAAATCTCAAGTTTTATCAGACATTCATCAGAGTAATTTGAGATAGAAGGAATCTTACAAGCCGAACTGTCTGTTCATGAAATATCTTTTTGAAGTTGAATTCCAATAGGAGTATTTAAAAAAATAGTTTAGTTCCTTTGTGCTCATTTCTTCTATTTAATTAGAGCCTGAGTAGGCTGCCTAGAACTTAACTTTTACTTGTTCCTGAATTGGGTAACCCAGGCTTTATACATGACATTATTTAAATTCAAACTAAGGAGTTACACAATGACTAAAGTATTTGTCATTCATTAGCATTGATTTAAATTTTAGATTTTCCTTTCTCTCTTTTCTGGTTACCTTTTTGATCATATATGTTGATAGCAAATTTTTCATTGTAAAACAACTTTATGCAAAGCTATTAGATTATAGTAAAGCAGGTATCATATTTACCTGTGAGGAGAATAGAAAAAGATTCCATGAGCTAAGTTTGTTTTGCTTCTGAAAGCTTTAATAAAAAGAGCTTGGGCCTAAATCCTATCTTCTCCCTGTATTCACTGTGAATTATTGAACACATTTCTTAAACTCTGAGCCTGCTTTTTCATCTGCCAAATGAGAGTAAACATAGCTTATCTTTTGAGGGTTTTGTGAGGGATGAGAGATAATGTCCATTAATTGGCCAAGTCATAGATGTTCAAATGGTAACTTTAGTCCAAAAATCACAGTGTGAAGGTAAATGGCATTGTTTTATATGGGGAAATTTTAATATAAAAATCTAGAACATATTTAATGCGTTATAGAGTTTTTTCCTTTTACATTCTGACCTCATAACTTCTGATGATTTGTATAAATCTGGAAGCTGGCATGGCATTCCTTGGTAACGTGAACTGACAAAGTGAAATGTGCATTAACTTTCAATTCCCTGCAGATCTCATCCCCAAACTTCTCTAATAGGCCATATTTATAAACTCTACTTTAGTAGATATTTACAGAAACCAGTATTTGGCAACATGTGAAAACTGATAATAAATAAAACTCAAAAAATGAAATCTTTTATTTTTTTTCCCCCATCAGTGTATCTGGGAACACTTAGAATACTTTTCATTTACCTGTGTTCTTAGTGATAGTTTAGAGCCCTTATTCTGTTTTCTAGGTAAGTGGCTTTTGCTTTCGTCACCTAGCTACAAAAAGCTGTGTAAAATAGATGGAAGTAGAATTTTTCTGGTTGAAGTGAACATGGAAGACTAAAGTCCCTCCCCTTCAAAGAAACAGAGTTTAAAAAGCACTTGATACTGTACCATAAATGTGTATGTATGTGTACACATGTACATACACACACACACACACACTCATACCCTCCTTTTTTGTGCAAAGGCTTTGTTCTACTTTGGTTTGAATTCAGAGCACTTAATTCTTTACCTGGCACATAAAAGATGCTCAATTAATGTGTGCTGAATACAAAAACTTTTTAACATCACCTTTTTTATTGACATACAAGATTTGAGATGCCTTATGTATTAAAGTATACAATTTAATGTGGTGATGTAATATTACAGTAATTGTTTCTCTGTGAACCGTTTAAAAACAAGAACACCTCCAGAGTAATTCATTAGTTTATTCTTTAAAGTCAAATTGTAACTACTACTAATAATGGGAAATAAATTTTAAAAAAATCAGAGCCTGTCTTCAAAACAATTAAAAGCTCTTGTATGCCACAGTAATGGATTTAGCTAAAGATTCAGACATTTCAAATAACCTAATGATAAAAATAATCTTTCACAAAGAACTACTGAATTGAATTTTTCTCAACATTCTGTAAAGCATTGTTTTTCCTGTGAAGTTCTTATTTGTGCTTCATATTGGTTTGAGTTTAATATAATAAACTACATATTATTTTTATTATACCACTTGGCTTAAAATTGAAAACTGCAAAAGCATCTTTTTTAATCATTTAAAAGAACGAACCAATATTTTGAAAACGAACAAGCTCTTAATAAACCAAGTATAGTAGATCTTTTTATAATAATGGCCAGTTGCAGTAGGAAACATGTTTAAAATTAAATTCTGGTTTATAAGACTGACAAGATGCTGTCTACCAAAAAAAAAAAAATGAATAAGGTATTTTTTCTTTGCAGTGAAAGTACCAAATTAAGAATCCGCTTAATTAAAATAATGATAAATGTAGATTACATTACTGAAGACAGTGAAATACAGCTGCTGTGTCTAGTGAGAGCCTGCATAATTTACCCAGACTGTACAAAGAAGCAATGGAGCAGCCACTGCAGACTGTTAGAGGAAATGTCCTGTTTATTCTACATACATTTCTTTTTTTAATTAAAATGTCAATGATAATTTTATAGCAGCCATCTGAAAAAAATCCTTCTTTAAATTTCTTCAAGGTGGTAGAACGTGAGACGAGATCATTACTACTACTGAATGAAACAGATTAAACCTGAGGAAAAAAAAGCATTTTATTTTTTTTAATTAATTCTGTTTTCTTTATCATAAGTTGATATTGAAGTATGTGATAAAATATGTATTTTTTTCTTTACGTGAGCCTTGCACGAGAGAAACATGGCAAAATCTTTGAATATACATTTTATTTAAAAATCTTTTGGAGCCACAAGCAAGATTTGGGTAGAGCCATAAGTAGTATTGCTTACAAGTAAAGATATAGGTATGTATACTGTAGGATTCTCAAGGTGGGTCTATCAGGTTTAGCTGGATGGTATTTCCTTTCCAACTCCATCTCTGCATTGTGACAGAGATAATATATTGCATGTCAGTGTCTGGAGACCAAAAAGAGGTTGAGAGTCCCTATAACACTGCATATTTTTGAATTTACTGTAATAATGTGACCAATCATATCTTCATAATTACATATATTTCAGAAAACCAGGTTTGTGTGTAACAGGAAATGTTGGGGCTTTTTTGTTTGTGTTCAAGGGATACGTGGGGATTCTGGAGTCAGACTTACCTGTGTTCAAGGCTCTTCCACATGCTAGCTGTATGACCTTGTTTTAGTTAATGTCTCTACACTTTGGCTTTCACATTTCATAGTACCTGCATCACAGGATTGTCATGAGCATTTAATGGGACAGTAAAATAGATCATAGAGGAAACTTCAATAGATGTTAATAATTTTATTTTTATTATTAGTCACTAGGTATATTGTTCCTGTGTTTCTTTTGCTTTGGAGCAATAGAGCATTACTCATACTTAAGATCATTTTTATCTGATGTGGTTTGTCTGTTGATCTGGTTCTTAGAGAAGTTAATCATGCCCTTCTATGTCTTCAGGTATACTGTGGTAGAAATTTTCCTGCTCTTTATTTTGTCTTTGTCTTTCCTCTTAGTCCTTCAGGTATCTGCTGGTTTGGCATTGGTGAATATGATGTCAAAGCTTATGCCTTTCTATATGTCTGTTTTTGACTTTAGCTTGATACCACTGGGATTAATTGAACATTTTTTAGGGTTCAGTTCTTCTAAAGAGTCTTTCAGATGCCTACCTACTAAAAACTTCTTAACTGGAAAAGCTTTGCAGACAAGAGATGGACGCATCACTAGAATTTGAAGAGTTTATGTAAGAAAACATTATGAGGAGGAACTTCTTCATATGATTTTGTTCCATATGCTTTTTTTCTTTGGGCTTCAGTAAAATGATAAATGCAAGAGGTGCAAAGATGAGAAGTTGCATACTAACATACATTTACTTTTTCTCTTTTCTTTCTTCAGGCTATTTTCTTGTTGCTAGAGATGTAAGTGGCTAAGGCCCAGTGCCTGTCTCAAGGACTAAGCACTTTGAGTTTTAAGGGAGAGAGTTACTGTTAGGTATTTATCAAAATTATTATTTGTGATGAATTCTTTGTTCTTTTAAAAATGTGCCATATTCCTTGTAGCATACCTCTTTGTTTCATGACTTGGCATTCATCCTTCCTTGCCTGGCCATTGTTACTGAGTTTCTCCTAAGGATGCGGTAGTCTTCAAGTTTCAGTATTGCTCTGTCTGGGCCTGTTTGTGAATTATACGTAGCATTCTCGATTTAGCTTATAATTCTGAGTAATACCTTGAAATAATTTAGTAGTTTATTTTTAACCAACTTAGTCTTAGAGTCTGTAGGTTTCTTCCCTGTCTTGGTCCTCCCCAAAGCAAATAATTATGTATCAACATAGTTTATCAATGCCTCCACCAAAGTAT